GGCAAGCTTCTATTAGGCATGCTGTGTCCCAGCTTGCATTTTTAGGACAGACTTGCTCGTGGCTAGACTCTCAGGTCTCCAATTCTATAGCTGGAGTCAGGATGTGCACCACATAGAATCTCACCTGGGTATACCGACCTATATGACTGGAACCACAGCCTTCAACCGGCCTGGCGTGACCTCCGGCCGGCCAATGTACTTGATCCACGCATATGGGTCGTCCATCTCGTCCATAGCCACCATGTTCCCTTGATTTATCTTTTGTATATCTCCCGCCAAACCCACCACACCGACATCCTTCTTATACTCCTCCCACAGCGCCAGAAGCTCTTCGAAGATCGTCGGTTCTGCTTCACTAAGATCATTCGTCTCTCCTGGGTCGCTCTTGATATTGAACAGCTCCCATCTCTGAGGCCCTTTGGGCGCAGGCACGTAGGTGATCTTCCAGTCGCCCCGTCGGAGGGCGCCGGAGCCGTTGCACTCGAAGCCGGTGACGTGCTCCGGCGGGTGGATGGCAAGAAGCTCATTACGCTCCTGACCTCGAGCGATGGCACCTGACTGGGCAATGGCGCGGAGGAATTGCTGCCAGCTCTTACCGCGGACTGCCGCGATCTCACGGCCCTTATATTGCGTGCCTGGATGTTTGATGCCTGCGAGGTCGAGGATCGTGGGTACGATGTCCATAACCGTGCAGTAGGCGTTTGTGATCTGCCCTGATTCTGCTGACTGGTAGCCCGTGGGCGGTTTGACGACGAGAGGGACTCTGCAGCCTCCCTCGGTTGAGAACATCTTGTATAACTAGGGGAAAAGTCAACATTCGTAAAAACAAGAGCGTCTTAGTCAGGAGGAAATGACATACTCTAGATGGCGCTGTGGCGGCCTGCGCCCATCGACACCCGTACCACACGAAGGAATTTCCCCGTCCAATGTTGTCAAAGCTATTGTCATAGTATTTCGCGATGTGTCCCATGATATCGTCCCCTACGAGAGGAATCGCTTCGTACGAAGCCCCCTCGGCGCCGTTATCCGACATGAACAATACGAATGTATCTTCGTACTCTCCGCTTTCCCTCAAGTAGTCGAGCACGCGGCCGATATTCCAATCCATTCGATCTACCATAGCAGCGTACGTCTCCATGGCCCGCGCCGACTTTGCCCGGACGTCATCCGGAAGTTTCTCCCAGATCTCCTGCTCCCGATCGGTCGCCACCACGGGGTGCGGCTTCGCGTCCCTGTCCACAAGGCCCAGTTCCTTCAATTTCTCGAGCCGCTTCTCTCGCAGAACCTCCGGCCCATCCGCATACCTGCCCTCGTACTTCTTGACGCTCTCCGGCGGCGCCTGCAGCGGCCAGTGAGGCGCCGAGAAGGGCAGATAGGCGAGGAATGGCTGCTCTTTCTCGGCGTCGGTGCGCTGTGATAGGTATGATAGAAGCTTGTCCGCGTAGCCGTCGGACGAGTACCAGTCCTCGGGCAGCTTCTCGACGTACTTGGCGTCTTCGACGTGCAGTGCTCTCGTCGCCGACCGGAAGAACCTATACGGTTCTTCCGCGGGGTTTTCGTACTGTGGTTCCCAGCCTGGAGCGGGTCATCAGTAATCGTGCACTTCACACCATGAGTTTTTTTCTGTTGTTCCAAAAGACGCGGTATGAGATGGCTGTAAGTGGAACGTACCGTAGTGATTCGCGCATCCCGGCAACAACGCAAAGCTCTTTGTGAAACCCCTCTGTTTCGGGAAGTGCTCTGGCTTCAACCCCAAATGCCACTTGCCACTCATCACTGTGAATTCCGAGTCAGTACTTACAATATCCGGAATGAGAGGTGTAAGCCAAAGCTACATAAACCAAGCACCAGCTTAGATACTGCACATTCGCCTCTCCCACCCATCCACAGAAAACGTGCGGTCTCGTTCGGGAACTCACTCACTTGTCAGATAGCCCCCCTCCTGCAGCAGCTCCGGCAGCGCCACCACGCGCTCATGCAAATACCCTTCATGGCCCGGCTGCCCCTGGTGGGCGGGCGAGAACCGCGTCTGCTCCTGCAGCTGGCCCAGCCCCGCGATGTGGTGGTCCGTCCCGGACATGAGCATGGAGCGCGTGGGCGAGCACGCCGCCGCGACGTGGAACGAGGTGAAGCGCAGCGCGCCGGCGGCCGCGGCGAGCGAGTCGATGGCGGGCGTCGCGATCTCGGAGCCGAAGCAGCCGCAGTCGCTGAAGCCGAGGTCGTCCGCGACGATGACGAGGAAGTTGGGGCGTTTGGGCGGCGCCATGGTGAGTTTGAGGGGGTGGACGTGATGATGGGATTATCGTAATGACCTTCGAATGGCTCTGTATTACCTGCTCGGTGGATATATATAGAGTACTTACGTGAAGTACTTATGCGAGATGCGTGATGCTGATAATGCTGACGGAGGTCGTGATGACCCGCTAGTAGCTTCTCCTCATCGAGCCCCCGCATGAGGTGATTTCCATACCTTACCTTGGCCGTATAGCTACATGCATGAACTCCCGAATCTCGCAGTGCTTATATATGCTTGCGTGAGAGTATGCAAGCCACGTAGCATGATACGGAGTTCCGAGGGCGGGATTCTCCTCGGCAGATGTAATACCTAACGTCTCGTTGGAGAGTTCTTATACCCACTATGTTCTCTAGCACCCGAGACATCCGGCATGCATATGTATCTCGGCATCTTTGGGATATCTTGCTATGACCTTTAACTTCATTGGGAGAGAAATTCACAGCTATAAGAGACTCGAAAGTCACGAGCGGCATGATTATCATCTGAATGGTAAGGCGAGGAGTCGATGAACAGGCCAGCACGATGAGTTTCAATTCCCTATTTGCCTCATATACGATGTGCTTCTGGCTCTAAGCTAGGTTATCGCTCAGGTATCTACTCAGTCTTTCCAAGGCCTGTCGAATCACTGCTGTCTCATTCACGTATCCTATTCGGATGAACCCTCTAAAGTCCTTGCCATCACCAAAGCACCGCGATCCCGGGAGGAACATCACCTTTGTCTTGTCTAACACGTCTCTGCAAAAGGTCTCGTCATCAATGGGCTCGCCGTTCTTCTTGAACTCAATGAAAGCTGTCGTTCCCGACGTAGGCTTCACCCAGGAGCAGTTCGATGCGTGCGTTTGCATGAACTCTTCCAAGAGCCTCAAATTGCTCCTCGCAAGGTTGATGTTGCGCGCCAGGAGCTGTGATCTTACGGATGGGCTCAGAGCGTACCGTGCTACTTGGTCGTCAAGCTGCGAGACGCTGATAGTGGTGTAGTCCCGTGCTGTGGTGATCCTCTTCATAATGGATGGGTCTTTCGAGGCGACCCATCCGACTCGTATGCCAGCCAAGGCCCAGGCCTTAGACATAGACCCTGTCGTGACAACGTTGGTATAGCCCATTGAGAGCGCTGAAGGGGGAATTTCGTGATCTTGGAGACTGTGGAATAGCGGTCGATACACCTCGTCTGAGAAGACAGTGATGCTGAACTCCCTCGCAACATTGACTATCTGCCTTAGGACATCCCCAGGTATGGCTACACCGGTCGGGTTATTCGGGTTGTTGACGACAATCATCTGTAAAATTTCATTAGATGGAAATTTCCCAAGACTCGATCTTGACCGCACCTTAGTATTATCCTTGATCAGTTCTTTCAGCTCGGCAACGTCTGGGATGTAGCCAAGCTCAGGCTTCAGCTTCCATAGGGTCACTTCCGCCCCGAGGGTCTCAGGCGTGGAGTACAGCTGCTGGTACGTCGGATAGACGCAGATGACATGGTCTCCGGGCCCAATTAGACTGTAGAATGCCAGATAATTCGCGGAGATAGCTCCTTGCGCAACTATGATGTCCTGTGATGATACTTGAACACCGGCATCGTTGATCTGGTACGTGGAAGCGATGTTCTCACGAAGCTCGGATGACCCAAGGATTGAGCCATATGTCATCCTTGCGGACAGATCGACAATAGGGGGCGCATTTTTCGAGCCGTTCATTTGCACCAATTGGTCTAGTGTTATAGAAGAGGCGCAAGTCTCGGCGATGTTCAGGACGCCGGGCGTGTTTTCGTACTTGTCCATCCATTGCTCGACCTCGAATGCTGGAACTTTGACCATCTTGACGATGAAAGGAGAGTACTGTGTGCAGAAGTTGCAAGGGTTTAGTTGTCGAAGACTGATGTTGGTCAGCATCCAAGATATTGAGTGCTACGATGTCCGGTGTATCATAGTAAGGATCCGACCTTCTCGCTCTTGTACTATTCCCCACTGGCTGGGCTGCTTCGATAAAGATGATCCCCGCACTTCAACGTGTGGCTACTATTTTCCTGGAATGTTCATGATCATTGACATTCTGTGACGAACTCGAAAAGTGCAACCTTGAGAAGGTAAGGAAGAAATCCATTTACAGGAAGTCCACACGAAACCGCCAGGCCATGGGCGTATTCAGGCCCATGGTTTATATCTGGATTGCTTATCTCCAGGCACAATGGTACGCCGCATGTCACTGTGGCGGGTTTGCAGCGTAACACCAAATTGATTGAACAGATTGTTAATAGCTACAAACGATAGAGCATGTTATGTTGCTTTTCGTATTTGGCCGCTATTGGATTTCAGCTGCCAGAAAAAGTGATGTACGCTTCGTTGGACTGCACACTTTACTTAATTAAGAGCGTGTGAGAACCAGATGCACTAAGCACAACCTGACATCCTGCCTGAAAGGCCCTAAAACCCTTTTTAAAAGGGGTTACCCATTTTTGCTTTACGGTATCTAGCTACAGCAGCGAGTGGTATCGGAATGGGTATTGATATGATATGTCTGAAGAGGTCTCACACATGCTTAAATTGGCCATTATTGGTTCTGTAGATTCGAGGACACAGGGTAAGAATGGGGAAAGAGAGAAAATGCGGGTTGGAATCGATTTTGACACAACTAAAGTATATGTATATAAGTAAGAAGGCGGTTGTCATCAGCAAGTGGGACTCCTCCCGCATTGCAACAACTCGTCGGGCAATTGGTCTAGGGGTATGACGTCTGCTTCGCATCTGTCTGTGACTGCTGAAGGTCCTGGGTTCAATTCCCAGATTGTCCACAACATTGATTTTTTGCTCCTTTCAAACCTTTAGGTTTCTTATCGGAAGATAGACCTGGTTTTTTTCTCCCTCGTGAAATCCATCTTTGTTGCGAAAGAATTGCATGGTACCCGCCCGGAGCGCAATTTGAAAGCCGCAAGTATCTGCTCGCCCAGGTGCCCCAACTGATTCGAGGGACACAAGGTACAAGCACTTTCTGCACCGCGTGGCTGTTGCTAAAACTACGCATGTCAGGCCTTGTCGGTAACGCGCGTTTCCTTTTTTTCTGTGTCGAAACATACAAAGTGCACGGCAGCTGAAAGTGACAATATTCTAATTGATGGGGTATCATAATATCAAAGCGCTCAGCGCGGTTACATGTCTCTTTCCAGCTTCTGTCTTGGCCTTATGGCTTGAAATATCCTGAAACCCAAGGCGACCGCAATCATCACAGCTTCAAGAGCGAGTAAGCCTATCCATATCCCATCGAGTGTTGCAACCTCGTAACCGCCAAGTAACCCTTCCACCTTCCACAACATTGGTCGAAACGAAATGTGGGCCATTCTTGAGGCTGCGAATTTGTGTGTGTGAATGGATGATCGGCAGGTAGGAGGTATGCACCAATAACACCAATGTCTCTACCAATACGTTAGCTGTCAGGCCTCGCCGTCAGTGTGCTCTTTCATTCTCCATCAAGGGCTTGAGTTGAAGCGAGCAATAAAGGCAAAATTCCAAATCGAAGTCATCCTCACATGGTACTTTTTCGATCACTATAGGTATTTCGTGGCGGTCAAAGGCTCCGCTGGCGTTTATGGTATCCGCAGAGCGATAACAAGGCGGCAATCCGAAAGAGGGTCCGTGTAAGTCGCCAGCCACGCCTTAGAATTTCGATCACCCGTTTGCTTGGTAGGATGGTATGCGGTGCGGCGTATGAACATCATGAAACCATCAGATATGGTTGAAGAGTTCTTAATATTACTTTTCAACCACTTAAAAGGTCCACAGGCCACGTTTTTGTAGGTCAGAAGGAGCGTTTCCAGCCGCGTTCAACGAGTGCCAGCGCAGTGATTCAACGCGCATATCTGGACGGGCGGTCACACAATGCCTAGGATGGAAATGGAAGCGGGCCGCTGCTGATTGGGAGGATTTGGGGGTGGGCAGACGGAAGGAAGTGGGTGATCGAGGTCGGTGAGGAAGTATGCGAATTGGTGATTTGAGGGTTGATTAGTCCTTTCCATATTGTACAACGGAGTAAGCTGGAAATGGATCTGTCAGCTAGGGTGTTGGAATCTACAAGTTGCTGTTCAATGTGTCGGAAAGGACAGCATGGACAATTCTTGGGCCTCATTTACCCGGTTGAGCGATCCTTGCGTTTCCCCAGATTGAGGCGTAGATCTTCCTAGACTGCCGCTCGCAGGGAGTAGAAACTGACCGGGATTAGGTGCAGGACCCCGAATTTCCGATAAATGTAAGTTGGTTTCGAGGCTATATGTTAGGTGGCATTTTACGCATCCCCAAGTAGATACCTGGCAAGGTAATCCTCTTGACTATTATGCCATTGTGGCTAGACCCCAAGTTACACCTCCAGCTTCCGGGGTGATCGTAGTTGAGGTGTATGTTAATGCAAGCAAAAAGCTGACTCAAGAGGATGTACACATTGAAAATTATGTTTATGACAGGCTTGTAGAGTAGAGGAGTCGTGGCGCGTTTCGAAGGAGATTAGCACCCAAGCAGTAAATCATTGCCCCGTAGCCATATGCCACATGCTCCAACCGCCCATAATATACATATTGAGAAAGAATTTCAGAACTCCATGCTGTGTTTCCAACGCCGAACCCTCATGCAAGCGACTGATTGCTTTTCGAAAGTCTGCTAGGCCATTCGTCCACTAGTTCGTATTGAGCTGAACATTACGCCTCTCCGCTTCTCTCACATCCCCTCCAGAAGCTCTCCACCAGACATCACAACCCCAGCGCAAGGCACGCTCCACAGCACCCGTTGGAGTGCAGGCAGGTCGAACATCCAGGTAAAATACGGGCTCGCCGGTGGGCTCGGGAGGTCCAGAATAATAGTCGATCACGTAGCGCACTTCCTTTCGTTGGCCATTATCCTCTCGCGAGACGTACCAGTCATGTCGGTCAAAAGGTGGTTCGGTACTGTTCCCATTGTCAGCCGACACATTGTGCATACTGCTCACGATAAGACTTACCCAAAGGCTGAGGGATATAGCCAGCCCATGACTTGGATCATTGCCGCCTTAGGGGTCATGTCCTTGGGGCGACCTTGAAATCGGACCAAACTCGGGCTTAGATCCTCTGTCTCCTTCTCGTAACCATGCTTCTTGACCATCGTATCAAAGTTCTGTTCGCCACGGGCGCATTTATGCCATCCTTTGTACAGACCGCCCGCGAAGCGCTTTTCCCATTCCATGATCTCGCCCCATGCGCCCTCGTTGAGAAAGTTGTGCACGCCGACCATGCTCTCGACGGCCGTGACGTCCGTGTCGTCATAGCCCTTACGTAACAGCGCGTTGTACATCTGCTGCGGTGATGGATACTCCCAGTTTCCATCCCCATCGCCTCTCGGGATCGTTGACGGTTCTCGTGACGTAGGAAGGGCATAAGTCTGGTCGGGCGCGGGCGCTTGAGAGATTTCGCGGAACATATAGTTTAGAGGGTTTAACTTTGATAACGTGGATTGCGTATCGGGTTCTGCGGCATTCGGGGCATGCTTCACCGGGCATGCGGATGGAGGAGTTTCGGACGGGGTATGCTTAACAGGGCAGCTTGAAGGCGGGCCAGTCATAGCATTGGCAGCCTGTTGATGCTTGTGCATAGGACACTCAGGCTGTGCAGAGTGAGTCTATGGTCTTGTGAGAGTTCCACGTGAACTTACAGGCGGTGATCTTCCATTTTGAGGCACCAAAACAGCGGGATGCGACAATGGCTTGGATTGCGCCTGAGGCACAGGGGAATCGGCCCAAAACCAACCCATTTTGAGTATCACAAAAAATTAAAAGAATATACAGGGCTAGGTATGGAAGAAGGGATCAAGAGGTTGTGCAGAGGATGTGGAGAGTTAGGATGGTGGTGAGGTTAAATGTAGGAAGACTCGGATAGCGAGAGTTGCCTCCGCCGTCGCAGCCAAGCGAACTTTTCAACGGGGAAGAGGCGATTCAAAGATAACGTGTCTCTTTATTGCATAAAACGGCTTTCATAGTAGCGTCACTAAGAGAATCTCGGTAATCACAAGCATATTATGTTTGATTGGCTTTGATCTCTCCACCTAGTGCGGATAAGATCATGCCAGGTTAAGGTACATGGGTACAAAATTGCAACCCTTTCGACGCAGCAACACAAGCAAGTTCTGTCACTGATAACTTTGATGCTTTTGGTCGGTATGATCGGATTTTCATATTCAACGCTGAGACTTCCGATCAAACCATTTATATTGAGACCAGAGCTGCAGAAAGGGATTAGGACGGCTGATGCTACTTATATGTGGTATTGCCACCAGTCTTGGCCATCTGCCTAGACCGTTTCCCTAGCCTTTGACTTCGCGATCTTCTCACAACAGCCACAACCATTTTACAGTTGCGTTGTGTCTTGCTGCAAACAACTTTTCGTGGTATATTTTACTCGGCCTCAGCGGCAGAGCAAATCCGATCCTTTCGCCTCACCAGGACCCATGTGATCAAGATGGATGTGATCCCAGTCCCAAGGAAGGCAAGGCATATCCCGTACGATGCGCGGTAGGTGGGCCCAAACACAGTGCTGTATATATGAGGACCAGCTATCCCACTGAATTGCGCCATTGCGTTTGTCCAGCCGATCCCAACGCCAGCCGTGACTGTGCCATCCAGAGCTCGAATGCGTTCGGGCCAGATGACGGGGTATGCAGACCCAGCGCAGGCGACTGCCACGATCAAGCATAAGTATCGCACTACAGCATCGTTTACAGTGAAGAGAATGATATATGATATCATAATGGTTGACTCGACTATGATTCGGTCAGGGTTCGGGCTCATCCACTCCGTGTGAACGTCGAATAACTTACCTGCAACCGCAGTCGTCCAAGGCCGGATGATTTTCCTGTGTAAGAGGAAGCCCAAGGTATTCAAGAATAGAAAGCCAGAAACATACGGAGGCTGATCTGGTAATCAGCTCTGCTCACTGACAGGAAATTCGACGACCTACGATGTTCATCAACTGTGAGTTGGATGTCGTTGTGAACCCCAGATCATAGATCACTGTCGGCAGGGCATAGTTGACCCCGAAGCCACCGACCCCGTGACACACCCAGTAGCCGGTGAAAGTGTAAAACGTGGGATCCTTGAGCAAGATCTTAATCGCTCTGGCATCCCAGCTGTGGCCCGTTCCCCTCGGGGCAGACTTGTCAAATCTCTGCACAAAGAACTCGCGTTCTTCGTCGTTGAGCATCTTGGCTGTTTCTGGGTAATCTGGCAACCAAATCAGAGCAATCACGGAGAGAATTATCGCAGGTAGTCCTTCCAGCAGGAACAGCCATCGCCATCCCGGAAGTCCGCCCAGGCCATCCTACAGAGATGTATCAGCTAGGTACACTTGCACTATGCGATTGGGGTCTAAGTCCTTACCATGAACCCAATAGCGTATGCCAATAGCCCACTCAATGCATTTGAGAGCTGACCGACAGAGTAAAACACAGCTACTCGCTGAGGTAGCTCACTTGGCTTATACCAGAACGACATGTGGTATAGGGCCGAGGGAAAGAAACCCGCCTCAGCCATGCCAATGGCAAAACGGACACACATCATTCCTTCGAAGTTTTGTGCTGCAGATGATGAACTTGCACATATACCCTAGAATATTCTCGTCAGCTCTCTTGTTGACTCCTTTCCACTGACGTTGTGGCAGCGCATGGGGTCTCACCCAGAACAGGATGAGGATGAACATCCATCTCGACGGGCGGAAGGCCTTAAGCAAGACGGTATTCGTAGGCTCGAAGAACAAATAGCTGTACGAGAAAATCGACAGTGTCC